AAGTTGGTATCATTTTTTCTACACCTCTTTAGCAATTAGTGAAATGGAAATTTGTGTTTTCGTTGTATCCATCACTGATTAGGACGAGCGATTCGGAGAATCTTGAATAACAAACAAAAAAAGAAATTTTAAACTCAATGACAACCAAGAATATATATGTTCAATCTTAATCAGTCTTTATTCTGGAGAATGTATAAAATATCCCCAGGTCCTAAATAATTTCTAATGGTCCATTGCTCTTCTGTTGTCTCTTTAAGCCTTCTAATGCCACTCAAGGTAGTTGTACATTTAACAGAAATCTATAAATGACAATCACAAACTTTGAGGTGCCTCAGTGATATATTACATGCAAGTAAAATATCTCAATTTTCATTGGATACCAAACTTCACATTTATGGTTACTTAAATATCAACCCCCAATGGGACTGGAAATTAAAATACCCCATAGAAAAAGTCGTAAAACAATTTCATGAAAGTTCACACTTTAATCATGATGAGCAATAGTATCATCAACCACGCCACAAAATTCACTACACTCACAGCTTTCCACTCATCACGGCCTTCCCATCTTCAATTATTAATTTTACTCAAAGACAAAAATTAATGGTCATTATTTAATCACAATTCACATCAAACGTACACCTTAGCTTTAATTACTTCTCTTTTTTTTTTTGGTTACATTATAATTGCGTCCTCAATTACTTCAATTAATCAACTTCATGATTCCACTACTCAAAAAAGCAAAAAAAAAAGAAGAAGGTTACATTACATTACATAAAAGAAGAAAAAAACAAGAAGCTAAGCATGCGTGATAGATTGAAATCTTTATGTTTCATCTGATGGACCTTCTAGTGAAAGTTGTTTTAACCACTCAAACGTTCGATGACGTGACATTGCTTGCTTTTTTGTCGCTTTGATATTCTCTGATGAATCCTTCTTATCTTCATGTTCATGGTCCCCGGTGGCTTTTCTTATTTTCTTAATTGTACTTCTACTGTTCACGATTGGAACTGTTTCTGCCACATTTGCTGAACATTTACAGCTGCCTAGAGAAAACCTCTGTTTCGTTTTCTTGCTTACTATAATTCTCATCTTATTATCGTTATTGCTGAAGCTGCCGCTGCTGCTACTGCTGGTGCTATTTCGACTTCCTGTAATATCCCTGTTTCCTCTGTTTTTCAGATCTTGTAATGCAATTTCTGGTGGTGTAACTAGGCCAACACGAAATAGACTCCACAATGCTGATTTTCGTGTTGAATTGTTGGCATTTGATTGAAAATTAACTTTAGAAAATCGAACCTGAGGTGTTGGACTAGGATGGGAATGAAATTGATTTCGAATCTTAGGCTGGTATTTTGTGTTGAAATTAGATGAACTGCCACTGCTAGATGAACGTTGGCTTCGAATACTGCTACTTCTACTGCTTGAATTTGTGTCATGACAATTGCGCCGATCACTTGGCAAACTAATTGAATGACGCAACGGTAATATTTGGCCTTTGTAGAAAATTTCATCTGCCGTACACATCTCTGACTCTTTCAACAAATTACCACCGGAAGAGCTAAAATCAAAATCTTCTAATTGGCCGGCGGCTTCTTCACTAGTACTTCTAGAAGCTTCTTCCTTCTTTTCGTTCTCTTCATTGTTCGGAAGATCACACAGTGATAATGCTTCTTCTTCATCTTCTTCTTCTTCCTCGTCTTGTTCTCTGAGAAGAACAATTTCTTCGCTTTCCCTCGTAATTTTCATCATTTTTTCTTGTTCTTGTTGTGGTCGATATAGATAGAAAAATATAGTTGAAAAGAGGAACAGTTATATAAAGAGGGAGACAAATGGGATGTAAAGGAATAAGCTTGCAGGCGACAATAGAAAATTGTTCGTTTCTTGTTTGCAAGTCAATAATACTATTGGGGCGCAAATAAAGCCGGCCTTTTTTTAGCAGCGTGGAGCTTTTTTAAGCCTTTCAAATGATTATTGCGGAGAAAAATAAAGTTGAGCTTCTGAGTTACTACTTGGGAAGAGTGAAGATGGTGGTGGGGACTACTTTAATTTAACAATGCATGCATTTGAATGGTATTAATATATTAATATATATAGATTATTATAAAAAAATATGTTTATGGATTTGGCTGCGATATTTTTTGAAATTTTGAAAGAGATCCTTTTTGTTTGGACTTTGAATGATGAATTCAGAATTGAACTACTCTAGACATAATATTTGGTATTAGATATTGTCGTTATTAATAAGAAGGTGACACCACAAATAGCAATTGATATATATAGGTACAATGGCACGCAACCACCTCTATATTAATATAGGCAAATTGTAATGTTTGATGGAGACAATTAAAATATTTGAGACGAATTTTAACAAGTTCGGTGAGTTTTTTAATTGTGTTAACGTTACTTTGTGAGTGGTAAAGAGGCATATGGTTCGGTGGTTGTGGATAGCTTTTTAAAGATATTTCCTAATGTTTTGTTTTACTATATATAAAGGATTGTTGTTTTTGCCGTACTACTACTAATAAAATTATGCATGAATAATTATAATAATTAAATTAAGTTTATCATATAAGAAAATAATCATTGTCGGTTTACCTAAACTTCGTATGGTAGTGCATCATAGTGACTAATGAAAAAAAAAATCATAATGTAATTAACAATTCTTATATGATTATTCTCTACGAAAAATGATTGAATATAATATGATTTTAGGCGTATCTATTTCGTGAATAAAACTAAGGCAAAGTATTTAATTTGGTGAATTGACATGAATGTTCTTTCATGGAAAGCTTGTGATCCAAAATTGTGAATCTTGCTTGGTCTCTTAATATTCTTCTCTACGAAAAATGATTGAATATAATATGATTTTAGGCGTATCTATTTCGTGAATAAAACTAAGGCAAAGTATTTAATTTGGTGAATTGACATGAATGTTCTTTCATGGAAAGCTTGTGATCCAAAATTGTGAATCTTGCTTGGTCTCTTAATATTCACTTGTCTTTTTTGCCTACTCTTAAGGAAAGGTATAGCCAAATGTCACAAGCTTCTTCCTACCACAAAAGAGCTTGTGGTTCTCTTGTTTTTTTTTTCTTTTAACTACTATTTTATATATATTTATTTTCCCACTAATTAAAATTTATCAATTAACATATATATTGTGTCGGTTGAAAAAGATGAGGCTCCAATGTGTTTATAACTAAGGTTAAATAGCAGTTAATGATGTAAAAATAGTTCTTCTTACTTTTACTACGGATAAAGCACAATATCACGTAGACTAATGCGCAGAAAGATTAAATTACTCTAATGGAAATTGCGTGAGTTTAGCACTTAATTTTTTTTTATAAAATTGAAATACTTATTTTCATGTGGACAGGAAATTAACAATTTTGAAATTACTAAAGATAGCTACTTTTAAGTCGCATCAATCTAATTAAGTATTGCTGAAGCTTTTTGTTACTTGACAAAAGGTCAGCTCATCAAAGCTTTCATTCTAGTTGATCCAATTGCAAGATTAACAAACGAAATTTCTAATTTTGGAATGTAGCTCGCAATTATGGGAAGGTATTTTTTTAAAAAAAAATAAAAAATGAGGTAGAAGAAAGTGAAATAGGAAGGACCAACAAAGTAGGAAATCGAACCACTTCATCATCGATAATTGAATAATGTAACATAATTCTTTTAGTCATACTGACGAGATGAAAATTCATATAATCAACTAATTGAGTTACAAAAAATTTCCTACCGAAGGTCTTCATAAATGAATTTAGTTGATTTTAGGATGAATACTAATCATTTTTTCACTTGTAACTTAAGAAGGATTAAGAACATAGTAAACTTGTTAATTCTCTATCTTCTGGAAAACGACGGACAAGACAGCGTATTGAAGATTAGGTGAAGAATAACTATCACGGGGCCAAAAAGATGGGACCATGAATGGACTAGATTTAAAACATTTTAAATGAAAAAATGGGTAATTGTAAGTTTGTAACACTCTTTAATTTTATAAACATTCATGGCAAACACAACGTTGAATCATGGTTAGTGGTGTAACAAACACTTAATATTGACAACTATCTTAATTAGTGAATGTCATTTTCCATGATAACTTCTTTTATGTCAATACATTTTTGATCGTTTCTTAATATATGATGTTTAGACTAATTTTAGTAAGAAATGTATTTTCGTTTAACCACAATCTACAAAGGATTGCACTTATATTCGGAATAGCTACCGAAGGTCAAAAAAAGAAACGTAGCTGAAATTAATGACTAGAATATATTGGGAAAAAAAGAAGAAGAGGGAAATAGCTTGCAGTTTATTCAATCATCTAATTACAGCATTGCTTAATAGTTACTACTTATATTTTTTAAAATAGATTTATTAAGTTACAAGCCGATGAAAGGAACAATACAAAACAACACCAAACAGGGACGAATCTAAGATCTAGAATCACTAATTCAGAACGTTCTTCTTCTTCTTCTTCTTCTTCTTCTTCTTCTTCTTCTTCTTCTTCTTCTTCTTCTTCTTCTTCTTCTTCTTCTTCTTCTTCTTCTTCTTCTTCTTCTTCTTCTTCTTCTTCTTCTTCTTCTTCTTCTTCTTCTTCTTCTTCTTCTTCTTCTTCTTCTTCTTCTTCTTCTTCTTCTTCTTCTTCTTCTTCTTCTTCTTCTTCTTCTTCTTCTTCTTCTTCTTCTTCTTCTTCTTCTTCTTCTTCTTCTTCTTCTTCTTCTTCTTCTTCTTCTTCTTCTTCTTCTTCTTCTTCTTCTTCTTCTTCTTCTTCTTCTTCTTCTTCTTCTTCTTCTTCTTCTTCTTCTTCTTCTTCTTCTTCTTCTTCTTCTTCTTCTTCTTCTTCTTCTTCTTCTTCTTCTTCTTCTTCTTCTTCTTCTTCTTCTTCTTCTTCTTCTTCTTCTTCTTCTTCTTCTTCTTCTTCTTCTTCTTCTTCTTCTTCTTCTTCTTCTTCTTCTTCTTCTTCTTCTTCTTCTTCTTCTTCTTCTTCTTCTTCTTCTTCTTCTTCTTCTTCTTCTTCTTATTATTATTATTATTATTATACGTATACATATTTTACCTAGTTTAAACTAAAAACAAGGAATAAGTGTTTTAGATCTGACTAAAAATTAAGGAAATTAATTAAGGGACACCCTGACGATTGATGTTATCAGTAGCAGAAAGCTGAGCTTGAGCAGAGGCAGGTCCACCTCCTGCTAGGGTTGGGGCGTCGGTGGAACTGGCAGCACCACGCCCAGGATTGGGCTGTTGATGGCCTTGTGTTCCATAACCCTGTTGCTTGTAATCCTCCAAATCCTTATACTGTGTATATGGACTTGTATCCACTGGCAATCCTTCTAATTTACTCTTATCTATAGATCCCTTATTACTATCTGTTTGCTTTTCCATTTCTTTCTCTGTATATAATTTGCACTTCTTGTTATCTCTATCTATTCTGTTTGTTGGCATTTTTCCCGTATATATAAGTTTTTCTGTTTGTGATATGGTGTTGACGCGTGTTTGTTGTCGTGTCAGGAAGTTGGATGAGGTGTAAGCATTTCCTGAATGCAAAGCTACGTCCATGTTACACCAATTAAACTTTGGTAAATCTGCTCCTCATATTTCCGACACAAATTTATTGATGAAGATTTTAAACTTCATATTTTTATACTTACATGATTATCAATATAAAAATTTAGTTAGTAAAATATTCTTTTTAAAATGGAAATACAAGTTAAATTCTCCATTAGTTCCAGTTTATGAGATGCTATTGGTCTAGACACTTTTTTTATTATTAAATATATCATAATATTTGTATTAATATGAGACTTTTAAACACCTGATCTGATCCTATTACAAAACATTGGTACGGTCATTACAATTAGACTTCCTTTTTACTGCAAGATGGGGTGAGCTTTGTGGGTAATGGGAGCAACCAAGACTCAAGTAACATATTAAGGGTTAACTGACACAGATCTATATGAACGAACACTAGATATATTTACTGCAAAACTCGTTTCAAAATCCTAGTGAGTCACTACATTAAATTACAAAAGAATTATATCAACACCACTTCGAGACATGTACTCGTTTATTCATCCATTTCTTGATCCCTGATCCACTTTGTGGCAACCCATTTTTCACCTCGGATTACTGCACAGCTCCCGTGAATAGATGTCTGCATTAGAGATTTACAAATGTCAGTAACTCCAAGCCAACATGCGCAGTATGATATAATGTTAGTAATCAGTATTCAGCTTTATAAACAGTAGTATCCAGAGAAGATGGAGCAGCAACAGAAAATGGAACAGTGATACAGGGCATACGGGAACCAATATTATAACCTTTCCCATCAGTATCTGTGCAAGGGGGTAGTACCTAATATGGGCTACCATTCACATTGATTAATCACAATTTAACACAAATCATTTTAGCAGAGCACCACAGCAACTCTGTTCAACAAACATCTTCATAGCATCATGGTAGACAGATTGATCGAGAACGGTTCCCACAGAAAGGAAATAGAAAAACACACAGCAAAACAAACAAAAAGAACAAAAGCCAAAGCATATAAGACATATTGGGAAGATGTAGGCATTTCTTCAACTTTTTTTCATCTTTAATTTTGTGGGCGACTCCTAATACTTTAAAATGCTAAAAGAATCACAGCTCTCCACATGGATGTTATACCGCGCTGCTACAGAGTGCAGAAAGTTTGTCTTATGTTCCAACAAACCTATTGCTGATAATCTCATTTGTAACAAATTTTCATAACTGCATCATATAAATCCACTTTATACTATTCATCTGCTATAAAGTATAAGGTGAAAAATGGTTCACAATATGCTTGGCTTGCTGCATAGCTGTTATGCCCAACCCTTTTTAAAATAACAGAGATCCTCGAGACTAGGCGCATGGCTCAGGTAGATGACGGGTCTTCCCCCCATAGATCAAACTTTTTTTGTATGAAAATAAACACGGCGATCACACTGAAATCTACAAGAAAAACTCACCGGGTCAATTGTACCATTTGGAAACAGCGAGTAAAATAGTAGTCCATCCCCTCTACGCGGCTTCACTTTCAGACCAATACACTTGCGGAAGTCATAATTAGCATCCATATTCTGTGCACTCTGTAAATTAACCAAAGGACTTATTTACACGACATGAGAGGCAGAAACATAACAATAGTCCACGAAAGAAGAAACAACTTTAAACTCACCTCGAAAGGGAACATGGTTTCTCCACCTTCTTCCACATCAGATAAATACAACAAAAAGGATGCAACCTAAATGAAAATACATTATTTTTAGTCTGGACACCTGAAAATAATCATTACTCAAAATTAAATGCAATTTGAGCTAAAATTTTACATGTCAAAGTTCATATTTATAGTCTACGGTACACTTGCTGTGAACACTCCACAATTGATGGTTCTGAAAGGATCCACGACAAAAATCAGAATTTTTTTCATCAAAAGGGGGAAAAGAAAAGAAACAGAGATTGGATATACCGGATAAAACTATATGCTTATTAAGGATAAAACTAATGTGAGTTCCACAAAGTCCTAAATGGAAGGAATGCTGTACACACCTTGTGGTGATCCAGATAACACACCATGGTGATTCCATGTAAAAATGAAGTCATTGCAATGAATCTGCAAACTAGTGTCGTATGAACCATAGCTTCAAACAAACTGTTTTTCCCCATCTTTTTAAATATTTTTGGGGAAGAAGGATTGGAAGAAACATGCATATGAAAACAACACCATCTTATCCCAATAACCAAACACTGAAATCCATGCACCATTCATTATGCTAGTTTGTGTAAGAATTGAGCTGGTAAAAAAATTAACAAGTCAATTGGAAAAGTTAACAGCAACAATTTACCCAAAGTAGATAGTGCATACCCTTTGGCTCTTCTGAGGACCATATTGAGAAGGATCAAACGCATCATAATGCGAATGATAACTCTGGCCGGTTTCGTACCGCAAAACATTAAATGCCTGAAAAATGCACAGGTCAACTGATTCAAGTTAAACAGCAATTATGATCACTGTACACCATACTTGGAGCTTTCATTTACAGAAAAATCATTCAGAATCACTAAATGAAATTAAGAGAAAGTTCAGACACAAAGGGGTTACAGCCTGACTAGCTATCAATTATCGGATGCATAAGGTACATAGCATGCATTATTTGCATCATCGCATTTGACTCAAAATCCTAGGAGGAAATTGAACAAATATCCGGAATCCAGCAAAAGAACTCCAGTTTCAGATAATACGCAAAACCCAGATTTCTCCAACTATAAATTAAAGTATACACCAGCAAGAGATGCTCAGTTTCTCTAACTTTCCTGTTAAAATGGACACCTTGATCTGTTGCCTCATGGTTTTGTCATGGTCTCTTGTTAGAATACATACAGACTACACCATGTGACGGCTGGATAGTTCATATAGAAGAGGAAACAAACCGTCAATTACAACAAATGAGCTCTTTCGCATAAGTAAACTTGGAACAAAAAAATTTCCAATAGAAATATACATAGGATTTTCACATACTTCAAGCTAAATTGCCGTGTGAAACCTTTGACAAAAATCTATATTGGTATGGTGCGAATGATTTGGACAAAAAATAATCATATCATTTCCAGTCTATGATCATTGAAGTGTCCATTTATTCTTGCCATTGCTAACACATACTTATCTGTCCAAAAACAAAAGCAGACAAATTCCATCTTTCCACAGCAGATAGCCATTTAAATTTTCGGATATGAGGTGAAAAGAACACAGACCAAAATATGTTTAGTGTTTGACATATATGGCCTTGAATCTGGTATAAAATGTGATTGTACAACCAGTTAATATTTACCTCCAACACCAAAAGACTTGTTTTCTTCCGTATTGATAACAATTGGAAGAATGCATTTGCTAGTGGAGACCTAAAATCACTAATATAGTTCTCCAGCATTTTATAAAAGTACTACCAGAGCTTGAATCAACGTAGTTTTCAAGAAAATAGAAGATGAAGAAGAGGAAGGAAATGAAGAAGCTTTGGAAAATGATTCTCCACCAATAATACAACTATTATGTCCTCTATTAATATCCAATTTCTGATGTGTGGATGGAATGATAAAACTAACACACAGTAAGAACCGCTTCATGCGTTATATTTAAGATGTGTGTTTTAAATGAAATTTACCTCTCCGTGTGTCCTGGGGATCATAGTCGCCTTTGCGATTTTCTCCTCAATGAGGTCCAGAATTCCAGTTTTGTCTTCAGATGCACTGATAAACATACCAGAACTGTGGGAAAGGGGGAAAAGGCAAAGGTCATTGAAATTGTAACTTCTTGTCAAAACCAAAAGAGGCAGCAAACTTCTATCAAATAGTCTTCACAGCAGATCAAAGAAACATAAAAAAAAAAGACCTGAAAAAGGACAGAGACACATGGCCAGTTCAAACACCCTGAACAGCTTTATCTTCCAAAAAAGTAGAAAATGTATGTGAGCACACTCAATTATGGTGACCTATTGATCTTGTCTACCAGAAATAGATATTATGAAAGTATGAGTGGATTAAGAGTTAGTTTAAGAAATTTTCAACTAATGCTTGGAAAGAGTGAAAAGATTGCATTTATGACAAAAACATCAATTTCAGTCAAGACACATAGAACACCAGAATATTGTTTACCTTGTTCTAATTCCTTTGGTATTCTCTGCTGTTTCTCCTTTGCGGAGAGCCAAAGATGATGGTTTCAGATCTGCCTTTGCCATCTTAATAATGCCTTGGCATTGTTCTATAGTTGCGAAATTGGGAAAGTATAATGCACGTGGGAACCAGCTTAAGACCTACCCAAAAGATTGAAGTCAATGTCAAATAAGATACACCAAAACAAATGAATACTAATGCAAATCAGAGATACAAGACTTATATAGTCAATGAGTTCCATGAACAAAATTTTTACCAGCTTAGGTTTAAGTTTAGGAAGCTAACATGACCATTTACAGCTACCAGCTATTTTGCCAATAGACTTAATGACATGCCTACTACACTGCTTCCTCCACACACAGACCTTCCCCCAGTCGACCATAGCAAAACAGGAATCATAGAAAAATAAACAAAAAGAATAGATGAAGTTGTAGAATAACAGAAATTGAAGGATGTATATTTGTTCTTAAGCTTACTTAATTATCCATCTGTGTTGCTTACAAAAAAAAAACAATTTATGTTACTTCAACAGTAACAAAAAGTGGTAATCATTGCATCAGAGGCAACATTATCAACTGTTGATAATCAAAATACAATAGCTATGAGAAGAAAATCCACATATCAACCAACCAAAAGTGCAAATCCAGGAGAACACATCCAAACAATAATTAAAAAGCTTGGCAGACTAATGTAAGTTCAATTACAGTAAGTTGATTCAAGTGAACACTTTTTCAAACAAAAACGGTTAGAACTGAAATCATACCAGCGCTAATTCAGCAAAGAGAATTATGCAATGAAACACACCTGAAAGGGGATGGAAGTGAGGGAATGTTCTCCAGTGTCGCCATTAGGCAAAACATCAAATTCTTCCACAGATTCAAGCACCCTCGACCTAGGCCGTACAGTAAGTAGTTGTACATCCTATCACACCCAAACACTTTGATCAGAAAACGCATATAGCAGAGACATATATCGGTTAATAGGGGAAATACCTGATGAGAAATGAGAGTAGAACCGAATAAACCGGCGAGGAAGAAGAAAAGACATAGCAGAAATACTGAAGGTAAGCCCCTTATGCTCCACCATCTTTGTCCAACGAATCTACCTTTGCTCTTCATCTTCTTCCTGATGGAGAAATCGATTGGTTCAAGTTTGGGAGAAATAATTTCAGTGCACTATTTAATGACAGAGTGATGGTTTGCATGTGTACGATTCTTTGACTTCTGCACGCGGCGGGAATTTTTTTCTCCCTTTTTGCTGAAATTTGTCATTTCATCTTCTTCTTTTGGCTAGTGGTTTAGTTGATTTTTTATTTTTATTTTTAAAAAGTATAATCCTTCAACTTTGTCATTTGAAATCGGAGGAAAAGCTTAAAATAGTCCCTCATCTTTGGGTTAAGGTTCAAAGTCATTCTTGAGTTTTCACATGGAGCACTAATAGTCCCTCATATTTGCAATATTGGTGCACTTTTTTGGTCTTCCCCTAAATTTTTGCCTATTTTTTAACATTAATTTTTGTTCACAATTTTTATGTAAGGAATGTCCAATCGTTTTTTTTTTATATATTTAGTAGAAATAATAACTCTATGTGAGAGAATATGAGAAGAAAAACACCTTGTTTTGTTTAGTAGAAATCGTATTGCAGGTAAAGTCGAGAGGTTCATCACCGTAATTTCACGTGCAATAGTACAATTTTTTTCTTTTCTTCCAACGTCATATGTTAAGATGTTCTTAGTTTAACTGCAGTAATATTTCTACTGAGCAGAATAAGGTGTTCTTCTTATCACCTTCTCTTACATAGAGTTATTATTTCTACTAAATATATAAAAAAAAAACGATTGGACATTCCTTACATAAAAATTGTGAACAAAATTAATGTTAAAAAATAGGCAAAAATTTAGGGGAGGATCAAAAGTGCACCAATATTGCAAACATGAGGGACTATTAGTGCTCCATGTGAAAACTCAAGGATAACTTTGAGCCTTAACCCAAAGATGATGGACTATTTTGAGCCTTTCCTCTTTGAAGTTGATATGCCCAATGTTATGAAAGTGACTTATATATATTCTTACCATTATACAAACGGCTCACAAATACCCCTACCGTTACAAAATGAGCTCACATGTACCCTTCATTTAACAGAAGTGAAAAAAATTAGTTTTAAATTTATATTTTTTGATTTTTAATTTTCTTAAATATTATTTAGGGGTATATATGATTCTTCTAGCAAAGTTCAAGGTATGTTTTAATCTTTTTCATACATAAATTATTTTTTTGACTTCTTTGATTATAATTATTTGAGTTTCTTATTCTTATTTTATTTTTTTCTTTCATTCCTTAGTGTAAAGAAAAAAATTAAAACTATTTTTTTGTGGCTATATTATAATTTAAAACTATTTTTTCGTTCTATATTGTAATTTATTTTTTATTTGTAAGAAACAAATTTGGTCATCTATAATAAATTTTACAAGAATATTAGTGAAACATGAATAAATTTGATCATCAAAATAATGAGAGGAAATTCCTTTATATATAAACAACAAAGGGTAGTGTAAACAAATTATTTATATCAGCTTACTTGTTTTTATTTTATTTAGTGGAGCACTAAGAGCCTATTTAGATTTTGTTTAAAAAAATATTTTTTAAGTCAAAAATAAAAATTCAAATTTAAATGAAGTCAAAAAATAAAAAGTAGAGTGAGATATACTTTTGGTGTTTAAATTATTTAAAGTTATTTTTAAAATTGTCAAACACTTCCTAACTTATTTTAAGTTATTTTTGACTTATTTTAAGTTAATTTTATATTTGTCAAACATAAATTGAATTGACTTAAAAGTGGTTTGACCAACTTTTAAGTCAATCCAATTTAGTTATTTGTATTTGTGAGATTACAAAAATAGATAATTTATTGGAATCAAATTAAGTATTCTTTTGGATAAAATTTCTTTTCACAAGCAATTTTATTCACCAAATTTTTTAAATAGATGTGGGGAAAAAATACATAGTCAATAAATGTATGTGTATTGATTACTCCCATTCTAAAAATAATAAGGTAAATGTATAGTCAATTCCTTGCAAGAGTGTTTTCATTTAGACACTCAATTTAAATTATGTTTTAATTGAACATTGCAATTTTTAATTGGATCTTTTAATTTGACACTTTCAATTTAAATTTTGAAAAGAAAAAAAATTATATGTATTTTTATTCGTATATTAGTTAATTAAGTTAATCATATAAACTATGTTAGTTCCTTTGATTATAGGCACCAATCTCAAGTAAAAAATATTTGAAATTTCATAGCCTATTAAGGTGAATGCATATAATTTAAAAAATTAGCATAGGTAATAGACTAATGAAAATGACTAGAAAAAAAATCAAATTTTAAATCGAAAGAGTCTAATTTAAACACTTTATTATGAATTGAGGTGTTCAATTAAATCTGATTTAGTTCAAATATTCAAATGAAATATGACAAATTTAAGAAAATTTATTATGTGTTAAGCAAAAATAATATAATATGTATTCTCACTCTGTAGTTCAATTTTGTTATGCCTACTATGGTCTTCTTATAAAGTTTAAATTTTTTGTATTGACGATGTAAATGAATTTTGAACAATATCAAACAAGGGTTGGCAATCTATAAAAAGAAATGTTATATTTAGATTAAAAAAATATATCCTTTTGAAAAATACTTCTTTCGTTTCTTTTTATATGTCATATTTATTATAAATAGTTGATCCATAATACTTGTTATTTCATAAAATTAATGCATAAATTATAATAACTAATAAGTAATTAATGTTCATTGTAATTACTTCATACATTGATTAATTACTCTCACCATTGCAATACTCTATAAAATCTGATTTTGAAAAAGAAATCTCTACAAATAAATTAAAAATAAAAGATGAATTTATTTATTTATCAATTATTGAAAAGTTGACTTAAAAAAAACATTAAATAAGGATTGAATTGTAAACTTACATAAATTCTTACACCACATATGCACAAAATTGTCACGTAAATACTACGTAGGACGAATGCGTCTATTCAACTTTGATAAATTCACCACCCGCCCCTCATAAATAAGAAGCAGAGGAGTAATATTTAATTTCAGAAAACTGTAGTTTTGCAAAATTTCCTAATTTCTTCCAAGGCAATTTTACTTCAATTTTGTTGCTAAAAATATCTTCTAGGATCCGTGTTTTACATTCTAAATCTTTCCTAGATCATTTATTGGGAATGTTCATTCAATAGTATCTGATCTGCTGCTATTTAGATTTTGCAAAGTAAGAAAAGAAATCACCTAGATGTGTTGTATGTTCTTTATCAAACATTTTACCAGGGATTGGGACATATGGCATATGTTCATTTCAAAGACAAAAAGTTGAAGGAAATGGAATCTCTCTTTTGATACGGCTACAAGAATTACTCAATTTAGGACCGTTAAAACTTAAAGGAATAATAATGTCAATCGACAAGTGTCTACTTTTCTTGCAATATTAGAAATAAATGAAATGTGTTTTATAATAATCAAAGAGAAAAGAAACCTTGTTATCCTAATGTGTAATAATCTTGTTCCTTCTACAAACTACAAATAAGATATGAGTAAAAAAAAACAGTAAAAGTTTCCTTAAATTAATTAGTCCCAAATAATATAGTTCATATAGGCAAAATCAAGCATAGGATAGGGGATCTACTATTTTGTGTAAGTGGAATGAAATTCTTTCTGCGAAATCATAATCACGTGGCTGGAGAATTTGTATATTGGCTCATGAGTCATGACAATAATCAACAAATGTATATCATAGCTAGAGATATATTATGATATTTTAATTTATATATTTTTGTATTATTTGTTAAAAAGAATACCTATTATTTATTCGAGTACTTTATTTAACTTTTAAATATATAAAATGTAATAAATAAAATTGAGTGTAATCTAAAGATCAATCAGGCTTACATTCATGCTTCAAGCTTATGGGTCATTCAGATATATTTAATATGTTTCGTCTGAGAATTCATCATGTTTAAAACAATTATTATACGTGGATTTTACAATCATTTAGGATATACTTTTTATTTCAAAGAGCATATAAAAAAAATTTAACATCTATTTTTTTAATCGTAACTGAGGAAAACAATCATCTTTTTAACAAAAGAATTCATTTTATAAAAAAAATAGAAAGACAAATCATCTTTTAACCTTTAATTGTGGCGCTAGTTTCGTTTCGATCTATTTTTCATAGAATCAGACATAAACTTATTATACAATTAATATTCATATTATAGAAAGTTAAGTATTAAATAGTCTAGTTCTCTTTTTAGGGATAAATCGAAAAACCTATGAACTTCAAACCAATCATTAATAAGAGGTTGAATATATATAATAAAAAAATCTATGTGCTTTTATTTAAATATATGTTTTATAAAGTGCTGATTGAGCCATCTTTCAAACAATTTTACTATTCACAAAAAGTTAATAAATGTCTTAAAAACATCCAAAAGTTAACGTAATATTTTTTCAAATTTCTTATCTCATAGTAATCTCCTTTTCTCTACCTCTAAGTAAAATGTCAATAACTTTGCACGTTTTTATGAAGTAAACAAAAATGGAATAAATTTGATAAATGTTTACTTAAACTTTCATTCTCACGTGATTTCAACGTCATCCTACTAAATAGAATATTAATGATTTCATATATTTATGAGTAGTTCAAGTCTATTTTGGAATAAATCATGTCTTGGCCCTCTTAGAACCTTCAATCTTCGAGTCATGAAGGAGTTGTGGTATGGCTTTGGCTTGATCCGACCTAACCTCCTAATTTTAAGACTTTTTATACTCTCCTTCATCCCAAAATAATTTTCGTCTTTATCATAAATGTTTATCTCAAATTTTTTGTTATTTAAAAATTCAAAACAAAATTAAGAAAAGTGTATTGTTTTTCAAATAGGAATCAGAGAGAGCACAAAAGAACTCGTGGAACAATGAGAAATGAACGTAACAGTGGTGTGCAAGGATAATCTTTCCACGTTGCAACACAAGTTAACCACGAATTTGCTTTGTATACCACAAAAAATGCTTCACATTTAGAATCTATAATTCAAGATAATCCTATGTAGGAGCCACATAAGTGGACCACAACGTTTACAACTGGTGGTCGAACACACACAATCCAAAAGAGCAGCCCTCAGTTGGCTGATTCTAATTGGACAAAAATAAGAAATTATAAAGATCGTCATTTTTTGGGGGAGATAACAGAGATTATTCAACTACTGACAATTTTCCATCACGTATAATGCATGGTCTTTTCTTTCTTTTTTTCAAAAAAAATAATAAGAACTTGTATCTAGCTACTTTTTCTTCTGAATTCTATGGTTGCAAGAAAATTCACAAATGCTAAGGCTAAATTTTTATGGCTCCATAGTTTCTAGTCCGATAGAAGTCAATAGAAGCTGCCGCTCGTGGATCATTTTGTCGAACAAAGCAACGATTGTATGTCGGAGGAACATTAGAGTTAAAGCCCTGAAAGATGGGATGAATGGTGGCACCAACGGCAGTGGATTAGGTGGTCGTAGTTGGGACCCTGGCTTGGAAATTGAGGTGCCATTTGAACAAAGGCCGGTATGTTCTCAATTCATCCCTGGCCTCATTCATTTGATCCAATCTGCAGAAAACGATAGAAAAGACTCATCTTAGTTCACATACTAGTTTATATTTATACACTAATACTCTGATAGTTTAAATATTTTTTATGCTATCCTTATTGTTCAACTTGTGATGTAACTTTTCTTTAGCTTAATCATAGAGATTAGTTTGCAATCACCCTATTAGTGACCTGGTTCTGTAACTATTCTTACACTTTTAGTGTAAAAAACTTAAACTAGTCTTGAGAAGGCCACAAGACCTGCACAGGTGGGACATGCCATTATACGATAAGCTTCTACTGCAGGTTATAGGATTATTGAAATGATCAAACTGACTCAGTAAATTACCTTTAACATGTACTAAATTTCTGAAGTTCTGTAAGGACGGGGGACTTGATATGGAGGTGGGTGAGCAATTTAAAGTATTAACTAAGCTAGTGCTTTTTACCAGGTGAATGAGTACTCATCTCTGAAAGATGAAACTTTATACTCTTGGGCGGAATTGGGTCCAGGGGCCTTCTTCCTACGTCTCGGAGGACTTTGGTTAGTTACTTTTGCAGTTTTGGGAGTACCTATTGCTGCTGCAAGCTTCAATCCTTCAAAGGTAAATTGTTAACTTTGTGCAAGTTCATTCTCCGCAAAGTGAGTACTCATGTGTCAATTGTAAACAAGGAGCTTTCAATTTTCTTTCTTTATTTATTTCCAAGTCACAAACACAATCAATGAATCCACTCAGTCATTAAAATATCTAATAGCAGCTCTTCACAATCATTGACATTCAAATTTTCACAATCCTCCTGCAGGATCCTTTAAGATTTCTCCTGGCTGCAAGTACGGGGACTCTTTTTCTTGTTGCACTGATTGTCCTAAGAATTTATCTGGTAAAGTTCTTCAATTGCAGAACTTCAATTTTTTGGTCAAATCATTCGGATCACATTCAATCAACAACCATAATAGGGATAGAGCTACGTTGGAGAAAGATAATTTGAGAACTTAACTTTTCTAATATTATATGTAACTTTCTAATTCCTGACAATAACCATAATAGGGATGGAGCTATGTTGGAGATAGGCTTTTATCAGCAGTTATACCTTATGAAGAGACCGGATGGTATGATGGACAGATGTGGGTGAAGCCCCCTGAGGTTAGTGGTCTTTCCTTTGCATACATATTTTACAGGTCCTTTCTCTTTGCTTCCTCTGCTCCTCCTCATTCCCACAGCAAGAAAATATTGCCAGCTTCAAAATGGATAAATTAGGTGACACGGATTGACGCCATTATCATCCCCTATTCACTGCTTCACTTGTCACATGGCTGACTTCAGTATCATCTCCTAGTTGTAGGCATCAATCCAGTTCCCTAAAATAGCTCATTTATACTACTATTTACATCAAGCACATTTAAGTAAAAAATTAAGTCAAGCTGAACACTTTATAAAAAAAAAAGGAGGTTTATAAACTGAATCTAGAAAATGCTCGTGTATATGAAGAAGACAGAGCTAGCAGAAAAGGGGAAATTAGAGTAACAATACTTTTAGACAACTTAATGTTCAGCTGTGTCCATCATTATATAAAACTTCTTAGCCTTTCATTATTCTTACTCCAATCCCATTCTCTTGAAGGTTTATCTTCATATATTTTGCACATCTAAGTTTTACTTCATTTGACACATAAGGAGAGAGGTCTACCTTGAATTTTAACCCACAAAAATGATTTCTTGAACGAACCAAAAGATCAAAAAGAGAAAATTCAAGACGATATTCTCAATGAAACGTTGTAATATTGCTTGACATGAATTGATTCACATAATAGATTAGAGCAAGTGCCCAGAACCATAATGACTAACACTGAGGTGAACATGGTCCGATATATCATGAAATGGACTTAAAATTTCGTATCACAAATAAGAAGTGAAGCTACATGTGAAAGCAATAAGCTATACTTCCTTGTCTTGGTCGAATCATAAGTCCTTGCACAATATTTTTTTCTTATTAGCACGACCAGCTATGCTAAAGATTTCAATAAAAATAGGTTCTTCATGGTATAGAAATGTAGTTAGCTTTCCTTGAAACTTTGAGCAACAGATCTTCAAGAAAGTAATAGCATTATCTTTTACTTTGGATGATCCCACAACAACAGCACACGATGGAATAACATCTATACCATGAAGCTAATATTAGTTTCGCTCCTATGGTAATTCATGCTCCAAAAGTCTATAAATGCCTGCAGTTCTTAAAAAACTTATCAGAAACCATGTTGCACATATGACATTTAATGTGGTTATTCCTTGCAGATCCTAGCTCGGGATAGGCTGTTGGGCTCTTATAAGGTACCAGATTGATCTATAAAATTCATCAGCTGGTTACATCTTATTCTAACTGTCAATAGAGTAGATCTTTCCAATATTACGAGCCTGACAAAGCTGGAGGAATTTATTTATCTAGGTGAAACCAGTCATTAAAATGCTGAAGCAAACGCTAGTTGGAACAGGGGCTTTACTAGTTGCAGCAGTCTCATTATTCATATTTGCAACACCAGTAGAAGATTTTTTCCGCGATACTTTCACAACAAAAGAAAACTCATTGAGTTCCACCTCAACAAACAGCACAAATAAACTAGGCATCAGGTATTCTATTCAAAACTTAAAGAAGTACAATATTATAAAATTTCATGAGCTTACGTTGTTTCGCTATGCAATTAAAGGAAAGAAGAACTGTTACGCTTGCCACTGGAAGTCAAGGAGGACGATGATCTGGCTAAAGCTGCTGCTGAAGCAGCTGATGGAAGGCCAGTTTACTGCAGAGATAGGTATTATCGTGCATTGGCCGGTGGGCAGTACTGCAAATGGGAAGACTTAGTTAAATAAGACGATTTATAAGTGAAGAAAGCTACAGTTAAATTCTGTGGTTGCTCAAAAGATCTGTACAATTGAGCCTCTTCTTATAATTTTAAAGAAGAAATTTTGATGTTTTACGCATTAGATAATGTGTATGCAAAGAAAAAAAAAAAAGAGAAAGAGAATCATAACCCAAAATGTTTAAATCCATCATTTGATCAAAAAGTCTCTGTGTGCTGCAACTGCAAGCCATAATTTGGGGAAAAATAATAGTTGCCCACCTGTGTGAATATTTGTTATCATCAAAACCAATTCGAGAAAACGATAGTAATTCCTCCCTTTACTACGAAAACAGACTACTTAGTACAAAACTTTAAAATTTATTAAAGTAAACACAGTAAAACAAACAGGATAGATGCAAATTTAGGAATCCTTCTTCTTAGGGATGACCCTTTATTCAGTTGTGCTCAAATCTTCCCCTATTTGAGGAACCCTAGATCATAAAAAATTACTATTACTATAAGTTTATAATTGCGGCAGCACTCTTTGAGTGTTAGGATCAGCAGCAAAAGATTACATAATACAGACAGTATTGTAAACGATTAAAAACTTGACGATTTACGAGTTAAATGGATCTTGATATCATTTTCTTTAACCCTAAAATCTAATCACTACCATTCTAGCATGATTCAAGCCAAGAGTTGTTATTTTCAACTTTTAATTACTACTGTTCTTTGCCAATTCGCAGAGGTAATGCCACTTTTTGTTTAGATATCTTACTACAGAGTGGGATTATGAGAAAGGCACAAGTACTTACTTGAATTAACTTGGCAAAAGCTCTTTCTTTCATAGAGATCCAAAATTTTAAATCAATTATGTTATAACACTACTACTGGTCTTGCTATTCATGTATGATAACGGGCCTATACTTACAAAAAAGGCTTTTATGCATAAACGTAATCAGAGAAATTAAATTTGGGCATTTTATAGAGAGCACATATATTTGAGCCTAATTACATTCATTTGGAAGTTTCTCAAATTATAATTTTTTTTAAAAAAATTCGTACATTTCTTTTTTTTGTCTGTTAATGAGAGAAATGTATTCGAGAGGGGATAGAGTCATAGAGATGTATTTGAGAGGAGATAAAGAATGTATCCAAGAGGAGAGAGATGCATTTGTGAGGGGATAATAATGTAACCGAGAGAGGATAATAATGTTTTTGAGAAGGAAGTTTTGAGAAATTTTTAGACATTATGATATCTTAAATTTGTATATTTACATAACTTTTGCTTTTAAATTTTCTGCATAGTGGATATATTTTTAAGCTACTAGATAAAATTGTACTTCATATCAATAAAGATAGAGATAATATGCTATAATCAATTAAAATAATAAGAATATTGTAAAATAAAGAGTCTTTATATTGTCACTTTAGTAGTGTAATCATAAGGCATTTAAACCGATTTCATAATTGCATAATAATCACATTTAAAATTACACACACTGATAGTGTGAAAGATTTCCCCTATTAGTCTAGTTTTATCATAATTTGCAATGTTATCGATAAGGTTATGATATGTGGTATTAGTTACACTAATTATTACTCCCTCTGTCCTATTTAAACTCATGGTTAATTATTACTTCCTCTGTCCCATTTGAATTTATGATCTAAAATAAATTAATAGATATTTATGTTGCTATAAATTATTTTATTAGAGGTAAATAGTACTTTAAAGTTAAATTATTATTTAATATAAAAATGTATCATTTTTTTTTGGACGAACTAAAAAGAAAAGTAAGTTATATAAATTGAAACCGAGGAAATATTATTTATTTTTCTAGGGTTGTTTTGATTAGACAATTGCTCTCTACCTATTTGCATGTCCTGGACACAGGATTGGATCTGCCAATATAAATACTTTGGCAGCTTAGAGAGCTGATCAAATCTATTTTTAATTTATTTTTAATTTTTGGAAGTGTTTGACAAAGTTAAAAATAAGTTTAAAATAATTTAAAAACCAAAAATAGACCTTTTCTTACTTTTTATTTTTAATTTAAAAATTATTTAAATTAAACTTTTTAATTTTTAATTTAAAAACCTATTTCTATTTAAGCCAATTCAAACTGACTCTATATATGTGAATTTATTACTTAGTCAGTTGGTGATGGAACAGGTCGTGAGTTGGCAGGAAAGAGAGGCGTAAAAGAGCATAACACGTGTGGAGTTGAAACAAAAGGCTCTCTCACCTTACTTGTCCAAATATACATGCAAATTTTGAGTCAAAACATCTTTTTTCTCGCTTTAGTGTCGCATTTTATAAATCAGAATTTAGTTATTAGCATTATGATTTTTTTATATCAATAATTAGGTAATATTGATTTATATAACTCTTCATTTCAAGTTATTTGAATTTTGATAAAGCTAAATTGCAATTTAGAATCGTATTAATGTGTACTCTACTAACTAGCTGAACAAGAAAATTAATTAGTTATGATTACTCTAGTCTCTATATTGAATGCTCACGACGTAATTACCAGATAATATATACTTAAGTATTATTTATCTCATGGTACCACCGACATGCATATTCATATGTTTAACCATACTGGTTAAAGGAGAGTATGTTTTATGCGTTACAGCTCAATTATATTGGTCCTAACACTTATTTTAGGGGGGTGGGGACTGGGGTGTGTGTGTAAACATATCAGGAAATATTTGCCATTTCAAAATATCTCCACTTAAAAAATCAACAGTTGGACCAGCAAAAATTAAATTCACATAAAGTTATATGCTAGTTCATTAACTCGTTGCCAATCTGGAACCATCATTAGTAAATGAAATTACAAATGACTGTGTTATTTACAACTAAAATAATAATAAACTATTGTTAATAATGTTTTATATACCTTGTTGCTGATAAATATTATAAGTTTGAGAAGCTAGAAATTCTCTACTCTCTATATATAGTATTGATTAAGCGATACAAGGAATCTAAGATCTCGTCTTGATACAACGTGAGATCATTTCCATCACCCCATCCCTCAATCTCTGGCTTAACTCAACCTCAAAAAGAGGATCTAATGAGCTTAGCTCTGATATCATGTTAAATGAATTTTGACCCTAAATATTTAACTTCAAAATAAAGATCAAAGGAGAAGAACTATCCAAATCATATGAGGAATCCTGAGATCTTGTCCCAATCCAATGTGAAATCATCTACGAATGTAACTTATACCCGAGAGAATGTCACAATTATTTAACAAACCTGGTAAGATAATTTGCAAATATATTCCTAAATGGGGCCTTATACAAAATCTTCAAGGTAACTACAATCAATAGGCCGCAAAGAGAAAAAACTGTCGATACATATTATCCCTTGCACGTATTTTTCTTTTTCCTAATTAGAAAGAAGGAAGAAAATATAAAAAAAAGATTACTCGTACATTTTGTAGTTCGTTTACTAACTAATATCATTATAAATGTACATAATTCTTGGCATCATTTGGATTAAGTTTCTTCTAACCAAAAACAAAACTTAAAAACTTCTGATACCCTTATTTCATATGGGAAAGGTATATATTTCTTTTCAAAATTGTTTTATCATGCTGCAAAACTACAAGTAAAATCGATCGATGCTAAAATCCAAAAATAGATAAAGAATCACATTTTAGAATTAGCACAATAACTGACTTCTTTATTTGTTTTGTATTTTTAATATCAAGAGCCCTCTATTTCATGCTCCTAATGTTTAATAGAATACTAATTTTGGGACTGGGGGTTCACGTGTTTCTATTGTATTTTACCCCCTACACAAAATTACAGTAAAATATTTTCGTTTTTCATCGATAATTAGGGGTATCTAACATTAAATAACGTTGATTTGTTTAGTTACTAGACCTTGTCTAGCCCCTACGTAGCCTTGTCTGTTTTTGTTTGAATAGAGCAACTGGAAAAAACAGAGTTCAATAATTAATTTGTTATAACAGATTACTATATATAACAAATATGATTAGTAATTGGGAAAACAAAATAAATAACATAATCATACTAAGCAATATATAACTTAAACTCGAAAAGTAGACTATCATGATAATTCGAAATTGGGACATTTGAATTAATTCTCGAAAGATGGAATTTCGACGTTTCACCAACCATCTACCTTCTCTTCTTTTTTTCCAGACAAATAAAGTTTACTCCTAAAACTTAACACTACCCGTTTCTGTATGGACCCGTGAACCACTAATCACTATTGTTCACTAATGGTAATGATTTTTTTCTCCCATTATCTATATTATTATTGTAGTACTGGAAGTTGGAAATCTTCAAGTTCTCTTCGTGAAATCTACAGCATTTATCAATCTGAATATTTAAAGCGGACTGTCACTTGAGTAATGAATTCACTACCAAGTGAATCTGTAAAAAGATATAATAGTAAAGAAATGGGATTAGAGGTGCCGCTCAAAATTGTGGTAGAATCGTAAGTAACCTTTTCATTCTTTATTAAAAGTTTTGGGTTCAAGCTTTAAGAATGAAATTGCCATGCTTTACTTGAGACTTTTTGGAGTGACTCCGAATTAGTCGAGTCCCAAAACAGCTATCCAGCTATCAGCTAAGAAAAAGTGATTCTATTATCAAGATCCCAATGATTAAGAATAAAAGAGTACTTATCACTCTCGCACTTGAATCAAAAGTGAGTGGCTATTAACTAATCTAAGTAGCAAAAAAAGAAAGGAATGAAATAGTAGGATGGAAGAATTTTGGATTTCTGTTTCTTTTCTGGCTTTTCTTGTGCAAATGAGCAAACTATTAAGTGGAAGGTGAAAAGAGGTTAGCACTGACTACAAAAAATAAAAGACGGAAGATAAAATGATGAAAGGAGAATACGCATTACCATTTTGTACTCTAAATTCTTTGATTACTTACGTTAAGAAATGTGATTTCTGTGAATGTGATCCTTCTTTTTATACTCGTTTTTCCTTCTTTAATCTCTATTTATCAGTTATTCAGCTAGGCTGGATCTTTCCGATAATTCATAAAAAGAAAACAACATCCCCATCTCCTCACACAGTAGCCTCACTTCACTACACTCAACACTCTTTTAATTTTCTATATATATTACCTAAAGTTTCTCATTGCTTG